CATACAGACTGGGGATTAGTCCAAGAACTCATTCGACTCTGTCACTGGGATGAATATTTCACCACTGACTCCCTGAAGGCTGTAGTGTCCCTATTTTACAGGAATGTTATCCTTTGTCTAGATACTGTTGCTCCTAAGAAGGTAGTGAGATTAAGTAGACACCAAACTGAATACATTCCGACGGCATGCCACAATAAGTTAAGGAAGTTGAAGAGAGTACTATTCCACTAAGGATATATCACTACTGCACTCAATCCACGAGTCTCTTGAATCTATCAAGCGCCAACGCTCTCAAAAGGACCTCGACGAAGAATTAAGGGCACTTGAAAGCACCTCCAAAGTTTATAACTTAACAACACTTATTAAAAAACGAATGCAGTCGACGAGGGACATCCCCTATTTACTTCACGACAAAGTTATCTACAATGAGCCTGCCGCTATCCGTGAAATATTCAGTGAGTGGTTTGCAGACTTCAGTTTAGAAACGCGCATTCCTGGTGAAACCGGCCCCCTTACTAGCTCTTTCCTCGGAAGCATAGTGTTCGCCAACCAATTAATAGAACAAGCAGTTAAAAGCCTGAAACCATCCACTAGCACGGGACCAGATGGCCTTGCTTCCATAATTTTCAAAAACAGTGGGTGTGATATACCCCTACTACTTCTTAAATTCTTCTCAATATCTGTGGACACTGGCACTTACCCTAATGAGTGGAAGACTAGCTTCATAATTCCACACTATAAATCTGGAGATAAGGCAAACGTCCGCAATTACAGACCACAAATATAGCCCCAGTTGTCTCGCGAATCATGAAGAAGGTTGTCAAAGATCAGTTGTCAGACTATCTACTTAACGAAGATCTTGTTACAAGTTCTCAACACGGATTTCTCAAAAAAGTTCTTGAGTTGCTTGACACTTCGACTTTTTCAACTGCATCAGTAGTAGTCGCGAAGCACGCAAGCTGGTTGTTGTTCTCTACTTCGATATATCTAGGGCATTTGACATAGTATCTAACAGTATTCTCTTTGAGAAGCTGTACTCAAGTGGGATTAGCAATCCATTACGGTTGTGCACCAAATACACAAAAAGGTATGTAATAAAAACAACCGGCTTGTGGATAATTGTATCAATACCAAAAGTGGACTCATGATGTAAGACCTATATGGACAGCATTATACATTGCAAATGAACTTTGTCAGCCTAGGGATTATGGTCTCCCATTGTATTTCCTTTATGAGTGCATCTATCGATGATACATTGCATTTACCTATTTCATTGCACTTTAATGATTCACCTTAGCACCTTTACTTTTCTAAAACAGCTTACTATCCTTTGTAAACGTTGTACTTACCTCAATATTGGTTGGTTATCGTATGCTTACAACTACGGGTTGAGAACGAAACGAAGTCGATTTTCCCGTGCAACCTGGAGGACTACTGTACAATTCAATAATGACACGACATGGGTCAGACAATGAGTGTATTTATACACATATCAAATATTTAGCCGTTCAAACATTACTAACTTGTAGACTATCTACTATTTGACATTGTATCATACTTGATCGTGCCTATAAAAGTGGCATGCATTTTCATGCAAATTTATGTTTATGTCAAAATATACATTTTTATTTTAGAGAATTCAGTGAACTCAAGTGTCCTCATGACTTATTATCCCACGACGCTTCTTAAAAAAATCGTTATAACGGACAAGCAACATCCCCTACTTTTTTAACGACAATTTACACTTAATTCCATTATGGGTAAATTTCGTTTTGATAAAGTCTTACAGTGTTATACAGTAATGTTTTCTGATAACGTTTCGAGCACAATTTATTGCTCGTAATCATATCATAATAGACTAAAATAAGCGCGCTACCATCCGAGGACTTTCCAGTATGTGTTTTTTCGAACCTTAGAAACTCTCATTCCTAGTGCAACTGCACCCTTCACGAGATCCTATCTCAGGGCCATGGTGTCCATCGGCCAGTCAGGAAAACTGTTGAAAGCCTCAGACCATCTACTAGTATGGGACCGGATGGCTTCAGTAATTCTCAATGACAGTGAGTGTAATATTCTTTTCCTGCTTCTTAAAACCTTCTTAATATCTCTGTACAATGCCACCTACACAAATAAATCGAAACCTAGGTTTATAATTGAAAATACGAACCAGGTGATAGAATATATACCGAGAGCTAAAGAATTATCAGTATAATTCCAACCATCCGGCCGGTTGCTTGAAAACTTCTTAGAGATCAAACATCTTACGATTTATCTGATTTATTTCAAAAGGTATGAAAAAGAATTTAACAAAAATAAGTCTCACATACATATCCAATTGATATTGCAACCACATTTTCAAACTGAGAAAAATAACAATCCGGATATTAGAGGGAGGAGAACAAGGAGTTCAGCAGAGATATCCTTTTCGATGATTTCATTCTCAAAAGCCGTACAATCGCATTTATGTACATTAGTTTACATGGATACAATTATTATCTATTTAGTTCTACATTGTAACGAAGGAGATAATAATTTTCAACTTGATATGAAAATGTGAAGGTACGAATACAGATTAAAAAAGGCTTAGAGACAAGATTACATAGGACTGGAAAACAGTTATAACGTATGCGCAATTAATATTTAATAACTTGAGAAATAATTTTAAAGGCGAATGAAAGGTGACAATTATTTTAACTTGATATGAATCACAAGAGGCTTAGAAAGAAAAATTACACAGGGATAGAACGAATAACAGATGTGAACGAAATGAGCATGGAAACTAGTTGGAATAATAATTTTCAACTTGATATGTAGGTTAGGAGGTGCGAATAAAGATTATAAGAGGCACAGAAACAAAAAATTACACAGGATAAGAATGTAACTGTAAAACAGTTTTCCTAAACGGATTACAAGCGGAATCAGGAGGAGCATGGAAATAAGCTTAAAATAACTCATTTTATAACTGAAAAATGGGATGAATTGAATGAAGACAAAAAGAGAAAAAAACACAGAAAACAAAACAAAAACTGAAGGCTAAGGGAACATACAGAAATAGGTCCACGGTAGTTATAAAGGCTGGACTAGTTTCTTTTGAACACAGCTCCGGCTCTACGATGCACATGGCGAGAGCTTCCGCAGTGCAAAGTAGTCGGAAACACACAGCCTTTGGTATATTTTTGTTTACTTTGAAAATGACTCTGAATGATGAGTCAGTTGAGATTCTGTGACAGGTATTGACGAGGTGTTCACTTATGGCACTTCTGATTGAACCAGTGCCTCCTCTTTACAGCCATTCTGGATGATGTTCTCCAACACGTTTTGAGAAGACCCGCATATGAACACCTATACCTAGCTCCACACGAGCAGTTGAACTGATGTATGCACATTGAAGTGGTCAAATGAGGGAGACTGCCCTTCTCCTTGCTCCAAATTAATTTCCTTTTTGTTCACACCTGTAATTCGTTCTATCCCTGTGTGGTTTTTCTTTCTAAGCCTCTTATAATAATAATATTTTATTTCTGGAACAGAAACCAGCCAATTTACAGGCATGAACATATGTACACTAATTAGAAATTATAGAATATATGTGCCCTGTTAATCTAGAAATAGATTGAATACTGATAAATTTGAGAGAAATATTTAAAAAGAAATGTACAAATAAGGCAATAGGTAATTTTCGAGATATGCTTTCAACTGAATAATTCATGAGATATAGCATCAAATCAAAACTGTAATTGAAAAAAATACGGTATGTCAGTTTCACGCGGGAATTATGAACGATTACGTTAATTTTGGAAGGTAGGTAGCATTTTTGTACGGGTGCTGACGTGAAATATAAGGGATGCGGAATGAACAGTAATTGTAAGTAAATGATTCATAGAGTTTTCGGAAGTCCATAAAACTTCAAATTCACCGGTAAGTAAACCATAATTGTGACATTTCCAGTTGTATATGAGACCAACTTTGAACTTGTCAGCAGATTTCATGATAGATGTGGTTCCGTTATTCACCAGGTGGGCTAGCAATATTCCGAATTAGTTGAGGATAGCGGCACTGTTTCAGTGCCTTCGTTTAAGACAGTACCTTTGAAAAGAGAAGAAGACACAAGAAAACCGCCAGAGAGGTGCAGAAGTATATAATAGGTGTTAATAATTCAAAACATATATAAGAAACATGGGGTTCATCATTTTTTGTTGTTTTTTTCATTAGAAAAATACTATTTCCCCCTGAGATTTTCTAATGATGGAATTCTAGTCTTTCTTGCGAAAAGAAAAAAAAGTTTAAGTGAAAAAAGATGATAATTTTACTTACTTATATAGGTTGAATAGGAGTTAAACACAAAAGTCAAAGTGCGTGAGCTATGTAGGAGAAAAGTGAGGGCTTAATAATAACTACTGTTTTTCTGAAGTATACATTTAGGTGTCCTTCTGAAGTAGGGGACTCATACCATGTACTTGCATTCGAGGAGTTTGTTATTTAAACTTCAGTTTTAGGCAAATTTTCAACTTCTGTTTTTTTAATTTTATTTATTCTCCTATTTTGCAGAAGCCATTCGAACTCAGGAGCCTTAGCAATAGACTGCTGTCCCACAGATAAGGGTGGTGCTCACATGTCCCCACCATCATATCCGCTGACTAGCAATCACCACCCTCCCACCTTTTTTGTGCAAGGCCCTGGCAAAATGCTTCATTTTTTGTTATATATATCTTTTAATTTCTGTTATAATATGCCACAAACTTTTTTTTTAAAATATTCATTTGTCAACTCATTCGAAGTCATGGCATGGGTGACTAATTTCAGAAGACCGTCATGTATGTTTCATCTGTTACAGCATTTTGGAGAGGAACAATAATAAAAGTATAGGGAAAATAGACTATCAGAGTCGACATTTTAGATATAAACAAATGTAATTTCGGAAAACAGTGCATAATCGTGCAGCATTAAACATATAAGTAGTAGTAAGTTATAATATTTTGTTCCGAAAGATTTGACTACACAAGATGATAGTTATAGAACAGTAAGTTAGGATTCATTACTGTTAAAATAATTGTCACCTTTCATTCGCCTTTAAAATTATTTCTCAAGTTATTAAATATTAATTGCGCATACGTTATAACTGTTTTCCAGTCCTATGTAATCTTGTCTCTAAGCCTTTTTTAATCTGTATTCGTACCTTCACATTTTCATATCAAGTTGAAAATTATTATCTCCTTCGTTACAATGTAGAACTAAATAGATAATAATTGTATCCATGTAAACTAATGTACATAAATGCGATTGTACGGCTTTTGAGAATGAAATCATCGAAAGGATATCTTCGATTAACCTCTTGTCATTTTTCAAGTGAATTGCGACTATTCGCGAGTTAGGTATGCTTATCATTTTCCTCCTCTTGCTTATATGAATGGTATTGTAAATTTTGTCTCGTAGTGCTAGCTTTGACAGTCTCACTCATTTGTTGTTCGTGACCTACTGCCTAACCAGTCGAAGTTATTTCTAAGTGACGTGGTAAGAGTAACTGAATTTGGATCGATGTTGTCTCATCCCATCAGATTACATCAGGGGTTGTCCTTGGCATTGTCCTGGGTCCTTTCCTATTTCTAGCCTACAATAAAATATTTTCTAATTACTGCACGTCGTATGAACCATTTCTACATTCTAGCAGCCTTAGAGTGATTTACTCCAGTTACATGCATGATTCAAGTGATTCGATAAGTAAATAAGTCCTGAACTAAATAGTCTTACATCATCGTGTGCTGAATTGCGTCTGTGGTTCAACATTGACAAATAAGGTTGGATTTGCATCGGTAAGAGTTATTTAAACATAATTCGTGAATTAAATCGACAAAAGCTACCAAAACGCAACTCAGTCATAGATCTAGGTAATTTTACCTGAAATGCATGCAATTTTTAGGAATGAGACACTCAGGTCATTGATCGTTATCTGAAGATAAGGGTTGTAAGGATCTAAATGATAAACAAATGCTTTCACTCCTACCATCTACATGCCTTCTCAGCTTCTGCCAAGTTTCTACCCCGTGGGCATTGCAGTAATTCGTTAGATATTTTCATAATAATATATATTTCACATAAATTAAGCATTTACATGATTAACATACCGTTTGTACAGACATAAACATATTTGACAAGTGCAATTTGAAATGGAACACTGTTTTTGACATTAAAATTGGAAAAATGGAAAAATAACCTCTAGAAACTTTGTTAGAATAGATTACAATATATTGGTTCAAGTCTAAATTATAATGTATAATATACTTATAGTCAATCAAATTCATGCGGTAGCATATCCTAATCTTTGAGATCTTTGGGGTCACTCTTCACTGAAATATCACTTACCTACCTCACAGTAATCTTTTTATTTGCGCACTATTATACTCTATTCGATCTTAACTACCTAGGCCATTATTAAAGCCATAACTTGCTCTTTGTTCATGTTTGTTGCTTGCCCAAAGTCTGGTTGTTTTGATTAAAAAAACACCAATCTTTAAACAAAGCTATATTTTCATTGAAAACATCATAGTTTCCATGCTTAGGCCAATAATTGTATTTGATACCATTTTGCAGATTCCCAAGACGTTCTTCTCTTCCTATAACAGCATTCAATCACGTGGCGGAATAGCACTCACCCAGACATACGCTGTTCACTGGCTGACCATGACTATCAGCAGGAAACGAAACGAAGTTTGGGTTGTCGCTCAACTTTGATGGTAGTAAAGGGTATACAATTTAACATTTATAAGAACCTGTTCTGACTGCTTGTACAATAATTGAACAACTCAAAATTTTGGAAAAGAATTAATTTATCATGCTTCACGATAGTAATTTATAACGTAACTTATCGTGTCTGCAGACATGGCATGCACTTCTTGTATGCTTACTCGTTTATATGAAGTATACATAAGTACTACTAGTAGGCTTTATACTTTTAACAACAATCAGACCCTTGAGAGGACCCTGAAAGTAAATAGCCTGGCCTACTCTTATTGATACTGATAGTCACCGTGACCTGAAGTATAACCCTTCATACACGAGATTTCTTTCTTATGGATTGGTAAATTTTGTCAATGCTGGTTTGTCTACTAATTCACAACTAACTGGGATACCAGGCTTCCGAAAGATTCTCTTGCATCCTTAGTGTTTTCTCTGCTTAATAATTGGACATCGTCACAGTCTAATCGATGTCCGTAGTTGTCTGCATGCAGCGATATGTGGAAGTAGATATCATATACCCTCTTGTACACAGTTGGCTTATCGTCACCAAATTGACCATTGACTTTCGTCATTTCGAACGGACCGATACCAGCATAATCACAGCATAAGACACATGAGTTCATGGACGTTCCTTTCATTGTGGATGACAACACCAACGACGACTGACTGATACAAGTTAATGAACTTAGCGGTGCATCAGAAGCTGTTGTTGTTCGACCTTTAGAAGGTTGTCTTACCGCAGGATTACCACCACTGCTACCTTTTATGATTAGCTCAAGTTTAGCATTAACATCTGTCGATAGGTGGACTACACACGGATAATTTTCACTGACGTCTCATGAGTATCCATACATTCTGCAACTGCGCCTGCCTTTAATTCTACTTCACGTTCAAGTAGTACAGTAGTAGCAGCCATTGCGCTCGTCTCATCATGATCAGCCAAAAACAAATGTGTACTATCATGATAATTATTACAAATATTCACTTTACCGCGGTTTATTTGGTTGACTTCATCATTTTCAACCTCTTTAATAACAGCAGTAGATGACTTGGACCCTTCGTCGCGAATCCTCAAAGGTTTTGTACCTTTACTGTGACTGGTAATACCTTGTAAACTTGTGGAGTCAGAGCTTGACTCTGAAACCGTGACTTTCTTCTTCTGCACAAACTGTGGTGTCGTCTGTAACACGCTATTCAACAATGGCTTACCAGTTGCAACTAAAGGCTTCTTCACCGCACCATCCTCGTCATGGGGTCTAAAGGTTCTGTTACAATCAGTGGAATTCGCACTTTGGTTTACTATCCTCAAAAGTGGATGCAGATCTGTTGGCCCGCTACCTGCTTTGTCTGTTGTCTTACAGTTCAACCTTGTGTGTCCCACTCTTAAGCAACTAAAACACAACCGCTTCTGTTTCGCCATTCCCAACCTTTCTACAGGAGACATTGCAGTGAAACTATTACAATCACTTATTTGGTGCGTGTTACGGCAAATGATACACTATTCCTTTCTCGTCGTGCCTTGTGCCTTCGATACAAGTGACCTCTTAATATTTGCTGATTCTTTAGGTTCTACTGTTGGATGCAAAATGCTGGCAAACTTGCCCGTTGCTTGATTGACAGTGTCCTTTACCAGTCTCACAATATCATCCAACCGGGCTCTAAACTATCCTCTTCTAAACGGGAGCTGATTTCTATGAACTTTCTTCGTAAGCGGACGGGTAATCTGTTAGCGGTTGCCTCGAGAACAGAGCTTCAGTTCAACTCATCCATACAGTTGAGACAAACGATAGTATTTCTGTACACCATTAAATTATTCAAAAACTCTGAGAGTTACTCGGAGTTATCATTTAACAGCGCTCCATTATCTTTGACGGTCTCTTTAACACTACGGGATATCATAAATGGCTTTCCAATCCTTTGACGTAATATCCTCATAGCCTCAGTGTATCCTTCGTCGTTGCATAGCTCTTGCAGCGACTCCAGTGAAATACCTCAACAAATACATCAATTTCATTTCGCCATTTATTACAAAACCACTCAAGATGACTTCAAACTCCTTTTACAAACTGTGAATGGTCGGCTGGGTTTCCGTAAAAATACCGAGGCTCAAATTTCGGAAGTTTAAAACCCCTACTATCACTGGATGGCGAAACATGTACATCCATCTTATAATGCTGAGCATCATACACATCATTACAAATAACAGGCAACTAATCATTACTTACTTTTCTGTCTGCTTCCTGAGCGCCACGTCCCTTCTAAGGCTCAGGCATCATCCAACGTGCTATACTACGCAACTCTCAGACTCTTGAAGGATCAGGCGTATAAGTCTGTGTTGACTTATGCCTGTTAGATTGCATCAGAAAACAGTTTTCGGCTCTAGACTTAATCGAGCGGCATCGAAACAGCGAGAAAATCTTCATAACTAAGGGCTTCCTAATCGTCAAAGTTCGAGGTCTGATGATTCTAAAACCTATGTGAGTGGAACGCCGAAGCACTGAACTGATTTAACAGTTAGTTACACTGACATCCACAGTTTCTTGAGCAAATGGGTAGAGGTGGGTAGTATGGTAGACTTCAGGAATCTGGATATCACTGTCCGATATCACCAAAGTTAACCTACCGAAATTCACAGTGGATAGGGCAGACCCACTAAATCGCAAAGGTGGTGCTGTAGTTATCAACCTCAAGAAGTGCCTGACCGTGCACAGCGTTGAAGCTCTCGCTTACGAAAGTGCAACATGAGAACTTCTACGCTCCAGTCTAAGAGGCATAGTCCAAGATACTGACTCCAATGTCATATATCGTAGTCTCAAACGCAGTGCTGACTACTCCTTAGTAGACAAGCTAGGCCCATAGACATCTAAATGTCAGAGTCTCGTAGCCGTCGACTTCAATGCTCGAACAGCTTACTGGACAAGCATTACGGCTCCATTTTCGGACAAATGTTTTGACTTTAAATTATTGAATCCTGCTCATCACACTTGAGATTTCTGAGATCGGAAAGTTCTACACCATTGTTAGGATCAAAGCTATTCCATAAATACACCATTCAAAGATGAAATTCGAAATGAATCTGGTTCGAAACGCAACGGAATAGCCCAAGAAAATTTTCGTACATGAATTTCGGGAATCAGACATCCATTTTGGTTCAAAAATCTGACAACACAAACGAAAAGTAACGGAAAAAGCAGAAGCATTGACAGACTACTTCTCCAAAGCCTTTATATAGGGGTTGCCACCAATTGCATCAGTTCTAGACGCATCAGAATAATACAGAATAGACTCTGTCGATATTACACAAGACATCGTATTGATTTATCTGACGAAACGATGCAAAGAAGTCAATGGGACTTGACAGCCTTCATTCTAGGCTTCTTAAGGAGTCATCAACTCATATATCCGGTCAAATGACTACGATCTTCGGGCTATCTCTCCTGAACAAAGTGTTATTGCGTGACTGGGAAGACGCCATAGTATTCCTCATCCAAAAGTAATGATCTAGACACTCTCCGTAAAAATACGGGCCTATCGGTTTCACCAGCATCATCAAGAAAGCCATAATGCCATGTGTAGAAAACAACAACTTGTTGTTCACAGCATAGCATGGCTTCCGAGCACGCCTCCTATGCCCGCAAAACATTCTTACGTCAAGACGTTTTCTTCACGGACTTCAGCAAAGTCTTCGGTAAAGTGCCTCACAAAATACTAGTCAAGAATTTGGAAAGTATTGGAGCCAAAGGTGGCTTACTCAATTGGATTGGAGACTTCATCATAGATGGGAGAGAGGATCAAATCTAAGCCCTCCTCCTGGACAGTAGTACATAGTGGAGTGTCATAAGGCACTGTGCTCGGACCCCTCCTATTCATCTTTTATATCAAAGGGCTGCCTGTACTCATCAGATCCCCTATGGTCATCTACGCGAGTGACCTAAAACTGTGGAGGGAGTTAAAGGGCGATAATGACACGCTCATGCTAAAGGGAGATCTCAACAAATTGTTGTAGTGGTCCAAAGAATAGATGTTCCCGAAATGCGCAACCACTTACATTTGACACACAAGCCTAAGCCTATGAACCAGAGGGAATAACACTCTCATGAGTTCAGAATTATTTGCATTTAGGTGTCATAGCGAGACATGATTTAAAAACTGCAACACATTGTCATGCGGTGGCAATATGTAGTTTCAGATCTGTATGGGCAAATCACAGAGACTTTACTAGAATCACTAGAGATAAATTCACCTCGTTGTATAGATCTCTGGTGAAGTCAAGATTAGAAAACTGTTTCCAGACAGCCAGTGTGTTTTAAAAGGGACCCACCTATTCTAGAAGTGGTTCAAAGGTAGGCAACATGTGTGATTCTTGGCATGGCTAATTCATCATACTGGGAAAGACTAAACCGTTTAAACCTCTTCTCATCGCAATGTTGAAGACTTTAAATAATGACCACGGCCATAGCCTATTCTTCCTTTTCCTTCCCACCCGGTCGCGACACTTTAGACGACATATCAGGAGAGTTCAAAATCCAAGGAGAAACTATATTGCTGTGGAGCATTAGTCCTCACACAAATTCATCAACTCCTGGAGCCGATTGACAGAAGAAGTGGTGTCAGCATTCCCTCAGTTTACTCATTCAAGAAGTGTCTGGACGAACAGACAAGTTTATTTAGAAAGAATTAACATAGGCCTCAAGCCTTCTATCCTTTATCGACAAATCTGAATCTAGATCTATTATTTCTCCTTTATTATTTCACTTATCTCAACCTATATTATCTAAACCACAACCTATTATTATTATTACTATTCTACTTTTATGACTATACCGAATGACCAACGGGTGTTAGGTCAAACTCCATTCACGGCAGCAGCTGAGTCCTAACATACTGCACACTTCAAACCACATCTTAACCAATCCTCGCACCACTCCTCTTGGAGTCTACCAGAGCTGAAGCAGTCGAGTGGCGGGATTTACTACGCATAAGTTCACTGTAGATCTGGAACCTCTACCTTACAATCAAGAAGCGAGCTCAAAGAAATCACTGGTTTATACTAGCTCGTAATCAGGATATTGGATATTGGAGGTTCCAAGAGCGCGTAGTCTAGATACACCGTTACTTTTGTATCCATGTGAAGCATCCTGAGGTAAACAGATAGTTTAGCTTACGTTAATTCGGTAAAGTTGAAGAGTAGCGAACAACCGACTTAAAGACCATGTAGCAAGCATTCAGATTAAAACCTGGTTAATTTCTCAGTCAGACAAAGGTAATATACAGTTCACGAAAAATACCCATTTATTCATAAGTAAAAACACAGTTTTTTTGTTCAGCGAAGAAATTTCTTTTCAACGACTTCATTTTCAAGCTGTACAGTCGTATTTATATTACAGAAAAGGTCATTAAGTGGCACTAAATAATTGCTCAGTCAATATACATATATGTGATAAGAATAACGATTATTAAAATGTTATAAGGGGTAGTTTTATACAAGTGACTAATGGGTATGGTTAATAGTTAAAAAAATGGGCTAATTGTGGTCAATTGACACGGTTTTCCTATTCTGAATAAAATTTACGCAGTATTTTATAATATTGACTGCTATAATACATCAACCAATGTCTTAACTTTAATTGAACCAATATTTTACTATGATTCAGCCAACATTTTACCGTAGTGTAACCAGTGTCCTTCTTTGTTTAACCGCTATTTTCCTATTTCAACAATTATTTCATAAATATATTCCAATTTTGCCAACTAATTAACTAGGGCATACTCGTTATATTATAACCATTCACCCAAAATCTGCCCAGTTTAACCACTTTTTAACTATTTCTCACTACTAGCCCGAATGCCTTATGGAGGGCTTATTCATGTGAAGTTGTCTGAAGAATTGCAGGGAATCAAAATCTGTTTTGCAAGAATAACCATTAACTTTAAATGTGTCGGTATCCAAGCATCCTCTGTGGGGTGGGAACAGAAACAGTTAGATTTCGCACTTTTCGATGTGGATAGAAGGCTTTAAGCATATGATAAACTTCCTGCAATACCATGGACAAATTGATTACTGGTAGAGACACCACTTCTGTGGGTCGGATCCATCTATGATTTATTGGTAAAACCAGCACTACAAAGCGATATTGTTCCCCTTTGGCTATCTTCTGAGATGCTGCGACCTGATGGAAAAGAAAAGAAAAGATAGACCATTTTGGTAGTCATTTCGAACACTATAATGAGATTGTTGCTGCTATTTTTTTGACTGAATTAGAGTACACGTATATTCTAGTATTTCTTCGCGTTTACCATTGTGCCCTAACGTTGCGATTACTCGACATCCGCAACGTAATTCAAGAGGCACTTGCGAAGGAATACGATAGTGTATTATTGCAGCAATCAAAATTCAAAAATCGAGCGAGTACAAAAAGTATCAATTGTTAACATGCAAGATTTAGAGTAATAAACAAATCGAAGTACAATTACACAATGAAAGTATAGTACGATTATGAGTAATAAAACGGGTCACTACAAGATATACGACATGCGTATGGTAAGATAAGTGGAAGAAATCCAAACTGTTAAGTCTTTCCTCCTATTAGATCAGTATCATAAGTGTGGCCTTCCTTTAGACAATTTCTAGGATGTATTAATTCCTCCTTAAGGCAATGGCTGCATGCAGAGTTAAATCAACGAATTCTCCCCTTTGAAAGTGTTTTCTTACATCCTTGACAGCATTCTTAATTAATGGTAAACTGCATTTATCTCTGCTGAGGGTACTATTACTTATGGAAAATGGTTGGCTGCTTTGAAATCACTTGATGGAAAGTTCGTCTGAAACACTATTCTTTAACTTCGATGGCGTGATGAGAAGAAGACATATCTGCAAATAATAAATTGTATTGACACTTGATCTAAGTCTAGTTGGAATATATTGCGGAGCATATGACGGTCCATGTTACTGTGGAGAATCGGTCCACTTATTGAGTCACTAACTCTTACAACTAACTCTCAGAATAGTTGTCTGCGCTTTCAGTCAACTCATTTGAGTGGAATTAGGTGAGCACAGATAAGATACAATACGATTCAAATTGGCGAAAGATGTTCTATCTTTAATTGAACACGTGGATCTAAAACTAACTGGACAAAGCCATTAGAAACACCCGTAATTTTAGCTGAAATGGTGCAGACGTATGCACCTTTTTTGTAGTCCTCTATTATTATTATTCATTATAATAAAGGTTTTTGGATTTCCCAATGAGTGAAAAACAAAACGATATTGTTTTTACTGACGTTTCGCTATTTAATGCTAATAGCTTTATCAAAGTATTATTAAACCGGAATTTACAAAATCTCAGCATATATATAACAAAGAGTTAAGGGGTGAGAAGGTCAAGTTAAAAGGACATATTGAAAGTTAAAATACCAATGAAGATCACTAGACCAAATAACAAAGGTAATAGTACATCTGTTATGGTATCAAAACAAAGTTTACTAACTTGATCATCGTTCCTTAGTCTGGGGTCATTTTTCGTTGTCAAGTTAGTCATTTGGCAAAGGTAACAAAATCAAGTGTAGATTGTTGGATTTGATCAGTGTTTAAAATTATAAAGGCAGTGTGTGTTTACATAGTGAACTTGCATATCACATTCGTGTTGATTTTGTCACTTCATGGGGGAGGGAGGTGTTGTAACCAGGTCAGATTCTGTTTTAGTCCATCATTCCTATTCAGGCAATTTGGATTCCACTTGATATGAAGTGCTTCTGATATTAGGCGTTCTTTATGATTTCTGAAGTTTTTCTGGATTATTTCAATATTGTCAAAATCAATCTTTAGGGATCTGGTCTTTTATATGGACAAGGTTGTTTCGTAGTGTCTGATATTTTCTTTAAAGCATCAGACACACTACGAAACAACCTTGTCCATATAAAAGACCAGATCCCTAAAGATTCTCTATCTAATTGTGTCTATAAAATAAAATGCTTGGAATGTGAAGCTATATACATCGGACAAACATCGCTAGAGAGAAATCAAAATCAGAAGTAATGAACACTGTAGAGCATCTGTTCCACCCCCAAGAAATCCAATTGAACTGGAAAAACTTGAAAAATCATCAGCCATAGGTCTACATGCTATAGAATTAGGTCACAAAATTGATTTTGACAATATTGAAATAATCCAGAAAAACTTCAGAAATCATAAAGAACGCCTAATATCAGAAGCACTTCATATCAAGTGGAATCCAAATTGCCTGAATAGGAATGATGGACTAAAACAGAATCTGACCTGGTTACAACACCTCCCTCCCCCATGAAGTGACAAAATCAACACGAATGTGATATGCAAGTTCACTATGTAAACACACACTGCCTTTATAATTTTAAACACTGATCAAATCCAACAATCTACACTTGATTTTGTTACCTTTGCCAAATGACTAACTTGACAACGAAAAATGACCCCAGACTAAGGAACGATGATCAAGTTAGTAAACTTTGTTTTGATACCATAACAGATGTACTATTACCTTTGTTATTTGGTCTAGTGATCTTCATTGGTATTTTAACTTTCAATATGTCCTTTTAACTTGACCTTCTCACCCCTTAACTCTTTGTTATATATATGCTGAGATTTTGTAAATTCCGGTTTAATAATACTTTGATAAAGCTATTAGCATTAAATAGCGAAACGTCAGTAAAAACAATATCGTTTTGTTTTTCACTCATTGGGAAATACAAAAACCTTTATTATAATGAATATCATATACCCAATTCCCAAATTTTTTCAAACTGTTAAAAGTGAACTTGGTTTGGGCATATTATTATTATTGTTCCCTTGGGTTCCTAGTGGAACATAGGGCTTCGACTGCACGCCTCCACTTGCTTCTGTCTTCTGCTGTACTTTTCACTTGCATCCATGTTAATCCATACTGTTTCAGTTCCTCATCACGCGATCTCCTTCATGTCACCCTTGGACGGCCCACTCGCCGCTTCCCTTTCGGGTTCCACTTGAGGGCCTGACGCGCGATGTCACCCAGCGGCCTCCTCAGCGAGTGTCCAATCCATCTCCACTTTCTCCTGCATATTTGTTGGGCGATTGGTTCTTGCTTTGTTTGTTCCCATAGCTTCTTGTTTGTGATTCTTTCCGGACATCTAATCTTCAGTATAGAACGAAGACAGTTGTTGATAAAGGTCTGCAACAGGCTGTTGGAAATATTCTTTGTGACCCGCCGTCAAGTTTCTGATCCATATAGAAGAACTGACTGACTTTACGTTTGTATTGAAAATCCGAATTTTGTTGTTGATGCTGAGTGACGAAGATTTCCAGATTGGTTTCAGGTTGATGAATGTGTTTCTCGCCTTCCCGATTCTCAATTTGACATCCTCGTCCGTTCCTCTTGTAGTTGAGACAATGCTCCCTAGATAAGTGAATGAAGTAACCTCTTTCAAATCCCTCGCGTTGATGGTGATTAGCGCTGGATGTTGCTGTTCTTGTTGTTGTTGGTTGGTTATTTTCATAACCTGCGTCTTGTCTATGTTCACCTGGAGTTCTGTCTTTGCTGCTTCTTCGACCAGTTTGTCTGCTTTCGCTTGTAAGTCTTCGATTTTGTGTGACACCAAACATAAATCATTCGCGAAATCCTGGTCGTCTAGTTTCTTCACGTCGGTCCAGGATACCCCTGTCTTCTCGTTTCCCACTGTCTGACGCATAATCCAGTCCACCACAATTAGGAATATCATTGGCGATAATAAGCACCCTTGTCTGACTCCTGTGTTTACTCCAAACGCCTCGGTGAGTTTTCCGTTGTGGGTCACTTGACATGTGCCGTTGTTGTACAGCTGTTGAATAAGGTTGATGAATATTTGGGGTACGCCGTAGTACTTGAATAGTTTCCAAATTACTTCGTGGTCAACGCTGTCGAAGGCCTTCTCAAAGTCTATAAAGTTGAGGTAGAGATTTGATTGCCATTCCATGCTTTGTTCGATGATGATGCGTAGATTTGCAATTTGGTCAGAACATGATTTGCCTTTCCTGAATCCAGCTTGTTCTGGTCGGAGTTCTGTATCCAGTGCATCCTTTATTCTCTCCAGGATAATGCGACTTAGGATTTTACTTGGCATCGACAGGAGCATGATTCCTCGCCAGTTCTTGCA